GTGAGGACCAGTACTCAGCAGCAATATGATTTCTTCTTGGCTTTTGAACTCTCCTGCTATGTTCTCTAAGGCGTTCCTACATGGTGGTAAGCGAGAAAGAAAATAGATCAGGACCGTAGTGTTGATTTAAAATTTAAAATACTGTAATCAGGTCTCCTCTCTGCCTACGGTATGACAAGAACTGATTCGAATTTTCGAGTCTTTCAAAATACGATAAATTGGTCTTGCCAAGAATCACACGTTCTGTCTTCCTTTGAACCCATTATAGACTTTTTAAGACAAGGACTAGCCACCTGGATACAGTTTTCCAGTTTCGACCTCGCCCGAGATATATATGAAGATGTAAACATATCTCTGGTGATTCTAGGAAACGCTATGAGTATTGCTCACAAGGATCGGAAACTACGATCCGCCACCGAGCGACAATGTGCAGCAACTTTCAAGCCGTGACCCCAAGATCCATATTAGTCTAATTTAATGGAAGTATAATTCCTTCTAGTTTGTATAAGTTGACGCCTGGGGGTTCATTGCTCATGGTTGCTCATTTCACTACGTTGGTCGGAAAACTTGCAACGTCACTGTGTCATTATTGTATTTCATCTCTCTAGATCTTAAAGTCATCTGCATAGAGGACCATGGGCAATTCAGTCAATACAGATAACTTGTTGATATATAAGATATATAAGAGGGGCACGAGCATAGTCCCTCGTGGCACGCCACGGCGTATTATTGCGGCTTGAAGTTTCTGTAGCAGTGTTTATTTTACAGGATGGATTTGCTAGCCTCATACCTAACCTTTCCTCTTCACCAGCATTAGTTCTGGTACTTTGTCGGAGACTTTGGTGACAACTACGTCGACAGGTCTTCCACTGCCCCTTAACTTTACCTAGCTTTCTCTTCCTGTAGGAATTTTCGTCAGACATGAGAGATTTCCCTGAAAGCTAACTGAGAAAATGCCAGCAAGCACTGAACTGATGTGGGTAGAGCGGAAAACACCATAGGATGCTATCATGTGCGGGATATCAAGTCTCTGAGAACCACTTCAGAATTTACTCACTATACAGAAAAGCGTTAGTTCAGCACTTGAGAGGACTAATTTTGCATTATTCAAAGCTTCGGCTTCGTGGAAATTTCTATAAAGCTTTACAGAAATGCCGTTTATAAATGCGAAACTAGTGAAACACTAATGCCTAATTAACGGTACTACATTAGTATTATGAATTTATCTGCTAAAAAAGTCACACGAAGAATATTTATACGAAAACGTGGTTAGAGTAAAATATGGCAACCCAAGCAACTGAGTAACTAAAAACTTCAAGAGCATTCCACATATATGAATTATATTTCATTCAGAAGTAGCACTGCATGCATGTTTACGGTTGGCCCTGTACGTTTACCCCGGATTTTCGACTACTTTTGTTGTTGTTCTCCCCAAAACTTTCCTTCTCTTTCACTATAATGTGATGGATGTAAGAATGATAATGGTATTCTTCATACTGGATTACAGTCTTGAAAAATATATCAGAGTATCGACTGTACAGACCTCTATTATATTTACTGTCTAAAAACTCTTGTTTCCAGCCGACTTGTATAATATTTCCCCCGTAATTTGTCTGAAAATAGGCTTATAGAATTCTTCTCATTTTCCACTGTTCTTACTGATTATTTATTTTAGTAAACTTGTTGCCTCATGATATATATATATATGTATATATACATGGTTCTACTGACACACTTGCTTTTGCGTGTCTTCTTTTCTTTCTGTGACTTACGAGTATTTATTTACCCCTGGATACGGTATCTGCAAAGGTGAAACAAAACAAATGGAGAGGCGAAGAAGGCGTTAAGCTAATGCTACTTTTTGTGTTAAGGTAGTCATAATAACAAGTTATGTCCACCTGGATTTTTGCCACTTAACTATTCCAGTTGATTTTGACAGTGATATGTGACGATGTCTTCGCAATCAAGCTAATTAGGACTTAACTTAGTGGTCACTCACACAACTAAAAGAATTTTCAAGAGACTGGTATACAGTTCATTAAAAGCATACTATTTTTATTTCTTTTCATGAGAAAAACGCCTTAGTAATTGACTGTCAGTTTCACAGGTCATCTGTAAACCAGCAGGTTTAGTCTTGACTATTCTTATGTTGCCTTGTTAGGGGTACAATTGCAGAGTAGTGGTCCAAACAAGTCACCAATCGAATGAATTTGTATAATTGACTAGACCACCTTACATATTGACTAGTAGAGTTATTTTGAATGAATAATGTCCACCAAAATCCTCTTACAGTCCTAAAAGGGTGTTTTGTTAGTTCTGTGTTCAGACACAGTCAATGGAAAAGACAAATTTTTGCACTTGTGGATGATCAGTAGTATTTCAGAAGTATTCTAGAATGACTGTTATGCTTAAATTCTGCTGCATCGGCTATGGTAAAAGAGAGTATTCTGCTGATTACGTTGCCTTTGTTTAGATTATTTCTTATAAAAAATATTTCAGTGACACGACTGTATTATGAAAATGGTAATGAACACATGAAATGAAAAATGGTGATATCCATGGCACAGTGTTTCCAGTATTATGTAGGCGATGCATTTAAAAAAGGAACTATCCCACTTTCTTGTTAGACAAAGTAGGTACCATGATACACAGCGGTAAAACTTAAACCACAGAGTTCTAATCAGACTTAATGCTACTGCTGTTAAGGAAAGATTCGTCGGAAATTATTGTGTTTAGCTGGATTTAGTATTGTTATTCACATAACTAAGTAGTCAGCAAAAAGACCGCCGGTTTACTCTGGAAATTACCTATCAGATTTTATAAAGTTAGACACTGAGAAGCAAATGTCACCGACAAATTCTAAAGCCGTCTATGTAATGAAGTTAGAGTAAGGAATAATTTGTTAAATTAAATAGTGCACAGTCAGTTAGATAAATATACGTGTGAAAATTGGTGTTCAATTTTCTGTCTATACTTCAGTGAAACTACTAAGTTTATTTATCTTAACCTTGAATTTTACTTTTTGCAAATTTCTTTCGACTTGAATTCAGGTTTAAGCATGTGCTTGGTTTCTCCTGGTAATTTAATAACTCCTTATTTTATTAATGAGTTTTACATCTGTTGCGTGTTGTCACTTCTCACTTATGTTAAATATCTTTGTAGAGTCTAAATATCACATTTGTCCTTATGAAGGCAATGCCACTGAGTCAAAGATGTTAAGATTACTATTTTTCAGAAACTGTTCCTTTTGCTTTAAAAGAGTGGACTACGATAAATATGTTTCAAGTGCCTCTTTTTTCAGTAACTCATCAAATTTATAGAATTTTAGATTAGTCCGTCACTTTCGACCGATAATTTGCAGATTAGTGACTGTCACGTGTGCGACATCCTGGGTAATAACTTTATTAAATATAACCATGGAATTCAAAGGCAGCGTATAACATAACCTCAATCGCCTCAAAATGATATTTGTAATTATCCACCAGTTTACGTGATGTCAAGTTTTGGCTACTTGTCATAACTTAAACGTACCATATATAAATACAAATTAATTTTTAATAATCCATCCATAATTTCAAATTATTTGAAATAACAATCTTTCCAATATCATCAGCTTACGCTGTTGATAAACGACTGTGACCTATAATTACAATGATAAGTAAACATCTGGCTCATTGCCTTAAGCACTTGGCTTTTATCCAATGGGTCATGAGTTAGAATCTCTCTTCAACTAATTCATCGTGAGTAACTGGATAGTATCATCAGCTCTCGTACGATAAGTGTGGCTCATATCCCAGTACATGAAAAATCTGATCTGGATCACCAAGTTAGTAAAAGCGAATAAAAATGCCGCAAATAATCTGCACTAAAAATAATCCTGTTTCTTTGGTTTACTGAGAGACTTTTTTGTCAAAAAGGAAAATTGTATCTGGTTTGTGCTTTTATGCATATTTTAACTTGACTATCTTCAGTCAGTTTAACGGAGTTTAGTCTAACAATGCTTAGTTTGTTTATCTCAGTTTTGGAATTCTCGAAATGACTTCAGAGAATATGATTTTAAGTTTACAAATAAGATAAATAAGCATAATTCAGTATAGAAAACAAAATTACTCTCTCATTTTAAGTAATACTTTATTTTATTATTATGTTAGGATGAAATTGCCTATTAAAAATTTACTTGTTCGACTTAAAAAACTGAGAATATAATGCGATAAATTAACAAAGCACATTTTTGGGTTATCGAATGTTAACAAGTCGGCATAAAGATGTGTTATACTTGGTTTAGTAGGTATCATCCTAATCAGATTGAAAAACATAAGTAACATCTGTGAATGTGTGGATCTGTAATCAGTGTAGTATGAATATCTCTTAATGAGATTTAGAAGGCTTTTAAGTGACACTGTAAAAGAGAATGAACAAAGGAATTTTCCGCATGAAGAAATAAAATACTGAAAGATAAACAATTCAAACTGTTGTTTAAATTTCGGAAAATTTCTTTGACTTTTAGGGATAATCGAAGTCACGCTTATCCAGAGGAAGTTTAATTTAAATAAAATTAAAAATGTGATGAAACCGTAGGTTTGTTGGATGTTTATATGAAGTTTGTAGGAAGGTTATAAAGCTGAAACCTCGAGATTTCAGGAATTAATCGTAACGAGGTTAAGTGCATCATTATTCCACGAATGAAGTAATCCTTCAGTAGGTTATTAGCTTTGATACCACGAAATGTTTATTAAATTTGATCTTGTTAAAAACTTGTAGTACTCTGGCTGTGCACACTTATGATCATATCACGGATCTAACTTTGGATCTTCAGGATGAGATGAACACACTACCACTGGGTTGCATTCCAATAGCCTGTGATCTCTTCTTTATGTCAACTCGCCATAAAATGACACCACCCTCCAAGAATATCGATGAGTAACTTTCCTCACACTTGACTTGATGGACCTATCGGTTATAATTCCTCATCATAACTCAGCGAGGTTCATCTCCAAAATTTCCAATACAATCTGGTTTTCATCGGTTCTATGATTGATATTAACTTATGGCAAAATATAACTTAAAGTCAGTTAGATACCCAAAGAGCCAAAATCTTAGTACTAAGTTTTTTAGAATTGTGACTATTTAGAGTAATGTAAATGTTAAGAAATTCAGTTTCCTCTCATTTTTATCCTGCTTGTTGATCACTCTGAAAGAGATTTAATCAATAACTGATTAACTTGCCTATAGCATTAATTTTACCGAAAAAACTATTAGTTGTTTTGATGGCCTTATAATCAAATACGCTTCTTTTAAGAATTGACTTAAAAATTTACTATATTATAACTATTTCATTCTCCTACATTTTCATATACTCCGCTTCATTTTGATTTTAGCTCATCTTATAACCGTTGCTGAACAAGAGAATAAAGAGCAAATTAGTGAAAAGGATCCCCACATGTTGAATGCAGTAATTACTCTCCAGAAATATATACGTCGCTTCTTAGCTTGTAAGATGGTTATTAAAATGAAAGCACAAAAGGTACTACTGAAAGTTTTCTGTTATCATATAACTACTCGTAAATTTAAGAAACATTGTGAATCTGAAATTGAGAAACTAAAACAGATGGCTTACCTTCAAAGCGTCAAAGCCTTTAGAGAAGAGCAAGAACGAAAAAGGGAATTAGAAGAGGAAGAAAAAAGACAAAACCGTCTACTTCTACAACGACAAAAAATGATGCTCGAATGTGCATTTGAAGGTCGTGAGCTTGAAATGAAGGAACTACTAAGAGAGGTAATCGAAATTATATTTACCTTTTTATCAAAAATTTAAGGTGTGTGAAGCAAATGGTTGTAATGAGAGTGGATCTATCGAAATAGATGAGTCAATACGCCTAAGATGCAAAATGCAACTGATTGAATGTAAAGATGCAAATCATAATTCTGTGCTTTCTGAAGCTTGCAGTAGAGTGATAGTAATCAATTTGTAATATTTTTCATTTCTAGTTGGAGGCAATATTGATATTGTACAGTTTCTCCTTGATAACGGTGCAGACGTAAATTCTCGTGGACAGTTTGGACGAACCCCCTTGTATCGAGCAGCGTTTGGATCCCACCTAGATATTGTAAAAGTTGTGAATAAATGTCATATAACGGTTTTACTTTACTTTTTAGATCCTTCTGAATCATGGTGCTGATCCGCGTCTTTATGCTGATGATGGACAGCGACCTATAGAAGTATGTGTAATATATATATATATATATATATATATATATAATCCATCTTTAGTCTACGAATAACTGATAACTTCCTTCTGTTTCCGTCTTGTTGGTGTATTTAGGTAACTACAGATAAAAATATTCGACAAATACTAGAAACATGGGATATCAGTGAAACAGATAGACTGTTGAAACAAATTAATACTTACAAAGCACACACTAAGCAAATATACGAAAAGGGTGAACAAGCTACTTTAAAGAAGTAAGTATTAGAGTGTAGTTCAGAATAAGCATTTCTAAAGGATTGAACAATATTATTTTCATCAAGAATTAGATAGTAGATTATTGACTAACAATGGGAGTATACTTTAGCATAAAGACTAATGAAAATTGATAAATAGGATATCCGTAACTCACTATATCATGAAATGATTTCACTATATCAGTGAGCTTGCAATACATGGGCTTACGGATTGCATGACTGACGGATAGCATTGAATTAGGAGTGAACTACAATTCAAGCACGTTTACCGTAATGTATTTGGATAAAGTAGCTCACATGATTTCTAGTAAATCCGTAAGATATGCAAACCCTTATCTGCTTAATCTGAACTGAGTAACCAGTTTGTATCACTGGTCTTCACATATTCAGTGTAGCTTATAACCTAATATGTATAAAAGCCTTCATATAGTGGTTGAGTAACACTATTTATTATTATGCTTGCTGTCATCAGAATGTCGACTGTAAATGAAGGATTTCTTCACAGAACCAAGTGAGTATTTAAAACTGCTAAACTAAACAGAACATATATATATATATTTCTGTTTCTTTTATTTAATTAGGCTACAGTCAAACGTTGATGCAATTGAGAAATCATATCATGCAGCCCAAGTTCGAGTAAGATCTAAATAATTTCCAGTTATAATATGAACTAAAAGCTTAGAAATTATTGTAAGTCGATTTTTTAGGGTGTAAATTTGCTCACTACAACATTATCTACTTACTCCAGAGCATTGCATATATTCTTAAATGTCGGCAAACAGCATAAGCTGATGGAAATTCAAACTCTTCTCTGTCCCGGTCATATATATATATATATATTCATTCTGTATGTCGAGGATACTGATAAATATCCAGGCTGGGTAATCCATACAATTTAGTTATGTTAGGTAAAGATACTAAAAAGTATAAAGTTTTCCACAATTTGAAGGGGAAAATTCAGAAGTTCTCAGTTAGCATTTTGCCTTAGTTAAACGTAAAATACTGTCACACAATGGTTGTACGTTAAAATTTACTTAAATATTAACAAGTGAAATGACTGAATGCTTTGACCAATTTTCTCACTTATAAAATTGCATCACAGTTAATTAGTTCAGCATGAAAAAAGTGTTCATCGGACTTTCTTCAAAACGGAAAACTGAGGTATATGTTACTATTATTCCCTTGGTTTCTGAGTGAAGTATAATGCTTCAACAGCACATCTCCATTTCATTTGGTTCTCTGTGGCACTTTTTAGTTCGCTCCATGATTGTCCATAAGTTTTCATCGCCTCTTCACACAATCTCCTCCACGTCACCCTCAGATGTCTAACTTGTGGTTTCTCACTCGGGCAACACTGCAGGGTCAGGCGCATGATATCACTCAGTATATGTCCAATCCGTCTACATTTCCTTCGGCATATTTGTCGGGTAATAGGTTCTTTGTAAGGCATATACAGTTTCGTAAAATATAAATCCACAATAGGTCAATTTATTTTTATGTAACACATTGATACAGTAATGATTAGCAGCAATATTTCAAGTTACTACAATTTTTAAAATTACTTCGGCGAATAGGTGAACACACTGACGGTAAAATTTACAAATAATAATTGTAGTATCTTTCTTGTCTATTTCTACTCACTGTTGTTACCTCCTCGGGTTTCTTCTTCATTGACCTTTCCAATGACATACAAATGATCACTACTGCCTTGAAAACATTACCCGATATGCTACTTATGCCTATTCACAAGTAGCACATACCACAAAGTGTGCAACAATTAATTCAGTACTATTTGTCCTCCCTTAGATGGAATGACAGGAGTACTTTTAAGAAGTTAAAATTAATTATGGACGGTGAAATAAAAAAGTATTCCCTGTGTATAATTATCTTAATGTAAAATATTATTTTTCGCAAAAGATGTGATTAAAACATACAAGCTACGTTTTGTCAGGTGTGTCAAGCTCATGAAGAATTAAACAGACGCATTAAAGAATATGATCATGCAGCAGCAAATGGTTATGAGAATATAAATTTATTACAAAGTGTAAGTAATTTACCAATTATATATGAAACCTATTGAATTGGTTACTCTATCTACGAGGTTCTTTAAGAATGTAAGACATTTCCAAACTTCATATCGAGGAATAACATCTCTGACAGTATCATGGTAATCAGCAACGTAAAAATGCCGCTTATCTTATACAAGATTTACGTTAATTATTCCAAAACTGCATCACTTGGCAACTCTCAGTTTATTGGCATAAATAGTAAGAGTAATGAAACTCATGTACATCTTTATAGCCCTGTCGATGAAAATGAAAATTTTTGGATTAATTTAAGGGCGAAATGTAGCATATCCCTTTCTTGAAATGGCACCACCTTCATCTGGTGGGTATTAAGGCATTTCAATAAATAGGTCAAAATATACCAGCATGATTTCATGAAAATTTAATGATATACGTGTAACTTTCGAACTCACTATCTCCTTTAATCCATTATATTGCACAGATATAAGCATCAAGCGAGATTTTCTGATGAAAGTGCAGCAAATGTAAAGCATTTCAAGAGAATAATGCCACCGATAATAATTGCTTCAGAAAATAAATTTTTTTAATGTAACATTTCATTTAGAAATAATAAAAAAAAATAATAACTTATGATTGAACCACCATAACAACGGAGTACGATACTACAATTAGCCGGGATGTCCTATAAAGACACTCGTAATTTAATTGTCGAAACTTGGGCCATAAATGTCTACTGCTTGGCCACATTCAAATATGGAAAACCAAACCACCATGCAGCTATATCAAATACTTATCATCCTTGTATTAGGTTAGAAATCTTCATCTGAATGACACTGAAAAAGTTTCCTCGGTAAGATAATAGGCAGTAGTTGACAAGTATTTCACCAATTATACACATGAGTTGTACTGCGAGAACTAAAACCAAGATGGTCAAGTTTCTTAGAGTCCTTAATATTGGTCAGCTGCACACATTTATTTTCTATCTCATTTAATTTGATGTATGTAAATTGTCATTTATTACCTCTGCGTTTATATCCCTGTTTCCGAAGAAGTCAACCCTTGTAATTACAACATTTGGATATAATGGATGGTGAACAGAGCTGAAATGAAAATCTGAATCACTGCAGGAGTGCAGTGAAATGATGATCTGGTTAGCACTTCAGTCTTGTAGTCTAACTTCTATATGGCTAGACTGGTAATTTTAGAAGTTGTTGACTCGATTCCAGATGACGCCTATATTTTCACTTCACATTCAGTCATCACTCATTACATTGATAACAGTCTACCAACCCACAATTATCCCAGATAGTTTCATCATCAACCATAGAGTTTTGACAGAACTTTTTGAAATGTATGGAAAATTCAGTCATTTACGATCTCTGGATTCATTATTCATTTAAGTGATTTGTTGAGGATGGTTGTTTTTGAAGATATCTTTCATTTCAAACTGTAGGCTTATAAGTCTGTACAACTGATGAACATTACGACAGAATGAAAAAGAAAACTAGCTGTTACCCAATGGTTCTCTTTTTGATGTATATTAAATCAGTCAGTTCTTCACAAGTGAATAATTAAAACAAACAAAATTACAGTATAAATATACAAATGTTTACTTATAGTGCTTATCTACCATATTTTCTATACTTCAATTTGTTTATAGCTAATAATCGACTCTGAATTAACTTTTGAATCAAGAAAGTTAGAGATGGAAAAAATTCGCGAAAAGCTTTTACAATCTAAACTTGAATTAAGAAATAAACAAGATGAAGGTAAGTGACAGGACCTGTTGAACTTTTTCGCATTATTTGTGTTAGTTTTTGTTTTTCCTTAATTACTATTCTTAAATAGTTAATTCTTCTTAATATTAAGTGATACTAATGTTTAAAAAATTAGATATTAGGCTAAGAGGTCTCTTTTCAACTAATCTGTTTATTTATTCCAGCCCCAAGTAGTACAATGAAACAAACATTTAATGAGAAGTTGTATCGACTCCTAAAATGCTGTTCAAAAACAAACCTTATCTTTTATACTTACATAGTCTGTCAGAAATCATAAAGGTAATAGTCTTAACATGTTCCGGGTAATAACATTGTTGTGCTGTGGCTGTGTATAGTGCATGGGTTGAATTCATAGTTCACTGAATGCTAACTCAGTGGCCCAGAGGGTATTAAGGTCGCTTCGTAAGCTGGGTCTTGGTTAACATTAATGGTAAAGTTATGAATACTGTAGTAAGGACCAAACAGTTTTAGATTGTTTGCTGGTAATTGCTGTTTTCAGTAATTCTATAGTTAAAAGTTAGACCACGAAGTGACATCATTTAGAGACTCACTGAAAACCAGGAATTATTAGACATGTGTTTCGTCCTCGTTTAGGACTCTTCACCAGTACACACTCTTGATGGTGTCCTACATGTTTCTAGAATAAAAAAAGCACTGATATAATCTTGTCAGAATTTTAACTTGGGAAAAGTATCGTAAAACTGAAGTCCCTAAGAAAATGATGGTCACTAACATCTAGTTTCTTTATTAGATTTCTGGCTACGAAATTTGTGACGAATTTTAAATTGTCGACAAAATTACATTCCTCTGAATAACTTGAACGGGAAATATTGGTCAAGGAGATTGAAAATCTACCTACAGGGCTGTATCAGTATGACTAATATGGCTGAGTTAAAGGGAAATAACCGAATGTGAATATCCGTGGGAAAGCGAATTACTTCCTGTCCTTGTGAAGTTGTAGTAATAACATCTAGCATGATAGTAAAATATCTGCCAGCCAAATAAATCTCCACGTGTTACAACAAAATATTCACGTCATCATTTACAAGTATATCTCCAAAATACTCAGAAAGTCTGACTTTCTGACAGCCATTCAGCCAATGCATTAAAACTCAATGCACAGATAATTCACCGCTGTCATTAACCATTAATCCCCAATCAGGAAAAAAATGTCTTTAACTAATAAAATCAGTTTATGGGAAAAGTTGTTAAATATACACTGTTCAATAGTGTACATAGAAAGGTTAAGTACAATGTACTTCTACACAAATACTTTTTATGACACTTGATCATGAATGATCACACACCTCTGTTTGAGTAAACGAAGTGACCTGGCAAAGAAACATTTTACAGCTTCACCAACTAAAAACATCTAACCAGATTCGATTAATACATTAGAATACGAATAAAAACGTCACTGTGCCCTTCAAGGTTTGGATAACTAGACAGCACTCACAGTATCCAGGCAACAGAAGTGTGTGTATGTCAGAGACCTTGACATTAATGTGATTACTGGGTTCATTACATCACACTAAAAAAAGAGGAAAGTTATAGCAGCCTATATTATATATATATATATATATATATGTTTCTTTTGTCATATTCAGTAAAAATGAACAATGAAGACAACTGTAAACCTGGTATCTGCTGTAAAATTGGTGAATTAGATGATATCTTATTCAAAGATATTGGCAACCGTATAAGTGAATCAGATAAGTAAATTGCTTGATTCAGTGGAAGATTAAAAAAACTAAATCATTTTTAGATGGCCAGTAATAATAGATCCAAGTGACAGAGTCAGTGTATTTCTACGTCACAGGGATACAAATTATGTAAATGTATTAAATCCTAATCATCTAGATAAAGAAAGGTAAGTGAACACTAATGTTATGCAGATATTAGTAGTTTTATCCTTATTACTGATTGTTTTTCATACAAATTAGTTTAGTTAACTGCTTTCTACATACGAGAATTTTTGTCATTGACTTTTATTTTAAATTGGAAGTTATCAGATCATAGGCCAAGTTAATGGATAGGTAAGAACACTTTATTCTTACTTACAAGATTAGTCGACAGACAACAACAACAGGCACCAACAAGTGGCGGTTGTTGATTAAACAGAAATGATCACCCTTTTGAAATTTACCTCTTCAGAAGTCACACTGTATTGTTTTAACTCAAAGTTAAATTATTTAAAATATTTGTTAACTGACCAATTACTTTCTGGACACTGCGAATACCTAAGGAAATGGTGGAAAGTTTGTCACTTCTTAACGGGAATTATGTGTCCTGTCAACGTGTGCCAACGGGCAGAAAGTCTAGGTCTGTATCACACTGCCGATCACTCATTTTATTGTTCAACTTATTTGGCTGCAGATGATTTTGTATATGGACCTTGCATTTTTCGTGATTGAAAATCCACAAGTGCGTGATTAAATTACTTTATTCTATGTTCTTATTTATCGTACATTTCGCATACACTTAAATGAGAATCAAAACCTAATGAATATTATTTCATCTTGCAATCTTACCATTGTTCAGTTTCTGCTTTAATTGTCATTCGCATTTATTGACTTTTATATGCCAAATCTAGTAGAAACATTAGTACCTGCTACGATTAATGAATTCTAAATAGGATAAATTGAATACTGTGCACATCGCCAGTGGTGGCCACGAAACAAGTATTTATCACAGCTTCTATACCCAATCCAAGGATATCCCAGATACTCGCATCGTCAACATATTTGTTTATTAATTTTTAGACTAAGAATTTCTCTTCTGGGTGCTCTACGTTATGGTAAACCATTTGTATTAGACCTGATGGAAGTTGATGATATGCTTGATACTGTTTGTCGAGATAGATTTGATTCTATCAAACCGTCATTACTGAATGATATAACTGAAAAGAAAATACTACATTCTAATGTGTAAGTGAATATTTTTTTCGTTCTTTTAAAAATCCTTTTAGATATTTCTGTTGTAAAGTCCACATTATAATTATGATAATATTATGTGCAATATAGGAAATTTCCATTACCATTAAGGTTAAACGTTGTGTCACTGAAGTAAGACTGTTTTTTTTATTTCTTGAGTGAGGAAAGAACGACCTACATGTTAAGTTTTAACACACTAAAAGTAACTATTATGGTTATATTTTAATTAATGTGTTTGAACAAGCATTCACTCTCAGGTTCTTCCTGTTATGATCTGCCAATTATGTGAGCTTTCGATATGCTATGGTTAAAGTACCTGTTTATATTCTTATTAGCTAATCCACAGCCTGTGCTACACATTATGTACGAATACTATCATAATCAGCACTATACGTTGATTGTGTCTACTCACAGCAAAAGACTCATCAAAAGACATGTTTTGAAGAACACAGTACCTATCAGCAAACAATTATCCGGAGGAACTTTCATTGACCTATCTGGTTAAATATAGTTAATCTATATGTCGTATAATGTTTGGAGGCACAAAATGTTGATTGAGCCTGCGTAATGAATACTTTGTCAAATAAACCTTAAAACAAAATGGATATCAGCAAGCTAATTAGCATGTATATGTATTTATATTCTCCAATACAATATTATCACATACCCACTAAGTAAAATGACTGACCCAATGAGAATATAACTGAACACAACACTAACCCTAAATAAAATCTCCATGTGAACACCAATTTGCATAAAGTCGTATTTACGTAGTAACAGCAGCCTCCAAAGAGCGGTGTACATACAAGCACGGCATCTTGCTATTCAGAAATTCATGTCTTATACAGCAAAACCGGTAACTAGTGTGTCGCTGAGCCAAATTCGTCAGTAAGCTCTATGTTTCAATGCATAGTTTCTGAGTGGTATAATAAAAATGGTAAAACAGGACTATCATCTTAAGACCCCGGTAAAACGGAATTTTCAGAGGAACTAAACACCGCGTTTTTCGAATCTTGAAGACTATAGGAAATTATATATAAAAACACCTCATAAATACAACTTATCACGTTGTTAACTTATCTACCTTGTCATACACACTTTCTGAGGCCAAACCAACAGATGTCATCAGCTGATGTAACCCATAAGAGTTAGTTTAAGCCATGTCGGGAAGTGTGGATTTCCTGGTTGGGGTCCTCGGGATAATAAGAACCAATGGCTGGAGACAATCGGTGATATGGCTCAAAATCGTTCTCAATGGCGCAGATGTTATCATTTTTTGTTGTATCCAATAACACTGTTGTTCTTCCATATAACTATTCTTTTTCCCTTACACTTCTGTTTATTATGTCTTTTAAACCTCTCTTTACTCTTTTCTCTTGCTTTGTGTGCTACATGGAATGTGGCAACTCAGACTGTTGCACTTCTGTGCAAAGTCCTATGTTGCAACCAGTCATTCATACTTTCTGAGTAGAGATTTTTTTCCTTTATAACTCCTGCACTAACAACGATAACCTCAGTAGCACCAATGACATTCTATCGAAGAACAATCCGCAGAAAAAATTATAACTTGCCGCAAGATATGTTCAAAGTGATTCCTAGTTTAACTGTATGGTGTGTCGGCTAAATAATATGATCTTTTAGTGAACGCAAATTATTTGAAAACATATATTAAAATGTTAAAATAAAAATTCATGATGTTGTAGGATATAGACCACTTCATCTCAATCAGTAGTTAATTTAGATAACCTCTTATTTCTTATCCATGCTCTTTATTTCGCCTCTTTCAGATATGAAGCTTTGCTTAAGGAAACTGATGCAGAAGAGTTCTCAGCAAAGTACTTTATCTCCCAAAATATCAGTAAATTTCTCTTCATTATACTTACGAAGAATGCATTGTGCAACAGTAACATAATTGATCGGTTTCTTCCTATCTGGATCCAATTAGCATAATTATATAATATGCTTTGAACCCCCTCCCGATTCTCCATTCACAAATAGATTACCACATTTATCCAATATGTTCTCAAACGAGTTAACACATAAGAATATGTTTGCTTAGAATAAATACAGTATGCTTTGACAGATTTTTATTTATTAAATAATTAGTCTTACTTAAAAACCTGCAATTTACGAAAACAAATCTTGGGAATTCCTTTTACTTCGTTTAGATCTAATCTTCTGAAGATAAAATAAGAATTTTCAACGGCTTATAATTCAAGATTGAGAATTCCCGTCAAGTTTACTGAACAAGAGTGTTGCATCTTAAGTTAGTGTATGCAAATAGAAATTCCATTTAAATTATCAGACTGTAAGCACGGGACATTAGTGTTTAAAAAAGTCAGCATTTGTTTCCTCTTTTGATCGCTTCACTAGGTATGACTAACAGAAAAACTATCCATCCACACATCCTTCAATTTTTCCATTCCTATCAGGAGAATTAAAGTGGTGAGAAAGCTTAAATTTAAATAACTGTTCAATTTTAGGATTACCTGGCTCCAGCTACAGGTGCTGCTCTGACACAAGTAAATAAGAATAGGTAATAAAAGTTCTGAACAAAGAATCACAGATAATTCTGATAACAAGAAACGCAGGGTCAGTCAGGTTAAAATCACAACTGTTAAAGGTTTCAAAGAATGAACCAACGCAGTAGAAAATCCGGAACATTAGAATTAAATAGTGTATAGTAGCAACATTTATCGTCCTGCTCAACCTTCCTCACTATATGACTCATTAGTATAATAATTTTCCAATTAATATAAGCCGTAATGATGACAACAACCATACGACTGCTTTTTAAGACAGTAATTCAATTTGGAGTTGAGTACCTACACCAGTGAGCCACAGATTGTCCTAATAACTTTAGTTATTCTCCTGAATGGCAAGCGACTTCGTACAGCTCCAACACTGTGCTAGCAATAAGTTTTCTTTGATTCTGATATAATCAGCGGACAACACCACTGAAGATAAAATGTGAATTTAACGCTAATCTGAAAAGCAATTTCCTTCGAATAAATTTGTTATGTGGGAATAGTATTACAACAGCTTAAGCATTTCCACCTATCCCACTGCAGAAACTATTAACATCACTACAGTGGATAAGATTTACGACAACACATGGATGATGCTTACACTGTAATACACTAATTAGTCGGTGGTTGACGATGTAAGATCGTGTGAAGTTTTCTAGCCGCAAGCTAAGGATTGAACGTTTTTGCTGTGAGCACTATATTCAAAATTTCTCAATCGTGGCAGTTAAAGCAACATTCTTCATTGCGTGTGTATGATTAAGTTCTGACACAGCTAGAGTAGGACACTATATCGCTGTTGTGAAAATACTATTAAACTGATTGATGAAATCTTTAGACCATTAGATTTCTAATCGGTAACTTAGTATAAACGTGCTCAACTCGTAAACCAAATGCCATAGGTTATACTCGTAGTGGATCCAGAATGCTTAAGTCATAAACTAGACTATTTCCACAACCCTGTCTCTTGATTGATACACCTTGAAATCAAACGAATTACCATATTATAAAACAAGGAAACTGAGTTGATATGTACATGAACGTGACAGTCGGACTGACTCTACTAAAGATAACTGTCTAGGTTAAGTCAAATTCTAACATCAAAACTTTTATGTAATTATCTACTTACTCTCAAAATATCGCATATGCTTAATAACCTTCCTTCTTGATAAGTTGCACCACAATTATTCGAAACCAGATTCTATAACCTTTTGTGAAATCTCGAGGGAATATGCAATCGAATATGAGCATAAACGTCCATCAGAACCCAGGAATGATTCATGGTATGTCATTAAACTGAACAGATAAGTGGATGCAAATATTGGGTATCGTAGAACTGTGTTTACAAAGACACCAGTTGAACAGGAAACGTCAATGAAATGAAATAATGTGATGCCTAGTTGTTGCTCGCAAACTGAAATCGTACAATACCTTAGGACAATAAATATATCGTAAGTGCAAGCGTAGAAATAGGGCACTGGAAAGATATAATTCTTCACTGGATGGGTATAATTGACGTGAATATGCTCGAAATGTCATTCAGTTATTAATTGTATATTACATTACACAAGCTCATCCAATGTGAGATATCTAATTCATGTTAGAGCCCCAAAAATGCTATTAAATTAGTTCTGAAATTGTCAACGCCGGTCTGAAAGACTCGTACTAATAACTTGCAGTCTGAAGTAACTAACAAATGATAACAATAAAATAAGTTGAGCTGATTAAATTTCAAGTTAGCGTCTATAACTTTCAAAGGGGATGAATGTTCGGAACATTTAAAATAATCCCACCTGAACAATTTTTTTGGTACACATAAACAACCTACAATACAGGTTCCTGAGAAATCAAGTACTTCAAAATTAAGCTAGGTGTAATGAACAAATTGTATCCGTCGGCTAACATGCACAAGCAAGTAGAAATATCAATAAGCGTCTTCTGCCAACTAAGTGCTAGATAACAAATCAGACATACAATACTATACTTAGACCCGTAAAACCAGTTGAATCATTTTAAGGAGAGAGAAATGAAGACTAACACACTGGGACTCAGAAAACTAATACGAAACTCGATTAGTGTGTCACTTGCAATCTGAAATCCTGTTAGAGCCCAGAAAGAGATTCAGAACAAATTATGAACGTTCTCACTGAAACGACAAGATAAGGCAGAACTACTGACAGAACACCCATTCAGCCTAGTCTTTCGTTGTTAACATATCTGTCATGCTGACGGTGGAGAAGGGCAATAACACATGGATCTATAAAAAGCTTACTGTCCGAGTTAATAGACGTTGAACACTACTTCATTGGGAACGGCGACACAATGCGGCAGCTATTCGAAATTAAGTTATTATGGGAAAAATTTGTTCTGATTAAAATCAGTCACAAGTCCATTCCCTTATGGGAAGTGATATTCGAATCGACTTTCTGAATGTTATACCAACATTTGAAATATGCAAATATAACCTACAATTCCAACATAACTTTACAGGATTGTTTGCAAACAGCATACTTTGGTTCCCACTAGGTTTATATTAGATTCCATTTAAAAGGTATAACATTGCAACACGAAGCCACACACTAATCCGGTCAGAAAAATTTATTCACATTCACAAATCCCCAGCAACTTTAACATCACAGTTAACACCTGGTTCCAAATATATATGCTTCAACTGCTGTGTAGCTTCATCTGTGGAAAGCAGATCGATTACACGCTTGTGAATTCTTAACTGGAACCTGTCCCATGTCTTTGAACCTTCACCACAAGGAGTTTTTCGAGTAGTGATTCGTAAAACCTAGAAATAAGCCTTACAAGAAGAAAAAACTTACTTTGGTTGGCATTCGAACAGGGCCCTTTACTTTAAGATTTTGATCTTTAGCTCTCTTGATCAGATCATTAGAAACTTGCTCAAGTGGCTTGACACTTGCAGCAGTTAGCGTAATTCGTACCCAATTCCTAGTCGGTAGCTGGGAGACATCAGGCTTTTTCTCTGCCATTACTGCGCTAAGACACGAGTCAATCTGTAAAGGCCGCCGTACCTAATTGAAGAGACTTAAACACAACCAGTGATTTTAGGTCACTGTGTATTATATATAAACTTTTAGCCAGTTTAATTGTAATATAAAGTTTTCTGGGTACCGTTTTCTGGTGTTAAGCGAATTATCGACCATGTAAACAAAATATTTCTGATGAGAACCTGAGTAATTGTTTATAGTTTGTAACAGATATGATTATGATGCGAATCTCCCGTTACAGACCCCTGAAAACAAGACTTTTTCATTTTTCCATGTCTTCCAAGCAAATGTGACCACCGTTGTGTTCAGAGCACAACTGCACACACTGATTAAGATGAGTGTTGTCGAAAAGGAGGGGTTAAGTCAACTAAACTTATAGGATTTTCCAGTTACCAACGACGCATCCGGTATTTTACCTCCTTCATATGATATATATTCAAAAAATAGCAGATGTAGGTAGTTACCTGTAACCGTCTGATGTGACCGATAGCAACATAATCACAGCACCATAATTAACGTTAGATTGTGAATGTGGTGTTACAGATGTCTCACAGGACTGTTCTGTAAGCTAGTGAATATCTAGCGATGAACAGAAGATATAAATTTTAATCCAGCGTCTTCATAACTGAACACTGCAACTTACTAGTACTGGAAGCCAAAGATCGATCTTCCTGACAAGGTGGCCTCTTTTCGTCATTCTGCTCCTCCATTAATCTAACCACACGGTTTATTAGCGGACAGCAATGGCTCGATGTTACATACTCACTACTGAACCGTTTCCACACATCTATATAGGCCAGAGTTATGATTTTATATGAATTCGTATGTGTTAAAATCTTCATTTTCTACTTTTGCGACAAAATGCAATCGACTATAGGGAAGCAGACTATAATTACCATTCATATGACTAAAAATACAGGCACCAGTCTTCTGTTTGTAGCGGTAGCAATTTTGAGCACAGCATGAGAAGGGTGTCAAACTTATTTTGAAGAAAATATGTGTCCTACTGAAGCGTAGACGTCCGCAAATAGTCTTCAAGATAAACGGAAGACAGTGTAGAAAATGAGGTGGAGAGAGTATAGAAAGGAAATTTGGTAGGTGAGTGGGTAAAAGCATAAAGATGATTGGGTAAACGATTTCATACATTAGAAGAAGCTCTGAAAGGTTAAGTAAAATGATCGGATAAGTAGCAAAGCAAGAGAAATAAAGAGGTGTGGTATTTGTAATTCTATTGAGACCACACAGAACCAAATTCTTCCCCTGCTGATTTGCTCAGATGTTCAGTTTTATTATGGTCACTCAGCTTTCTGTCAAAACTACCAACAGGCATAACGGTAGCCATGTTGGCCAGTGAGAAGCTCCGTATTCTTTTAACTTTCAGGGAACAGGGGTCGGATCGTACCACTTTACTGTCCTGTGAAGAGAGCGATTCGCTGTGGTTTACACCGGAATGTGCTGCAGTCCATTATGGCAGTATACTGCTGTTTTGGTGGTCCGTGTCATGCGTCACTATAAGTCACGTACAAACGCCGCCTCAAATTCTACGCCAGCTGAAAGCACATACGTCCAGCTTTTGTCAACATTTTGACCTCAACACAGATTTAGCTACCTACCACGGTATGCTGTCCGGGGGACCGGCATTCATTTTTGATTGGGGACCGGTAAAATTGTGGACTCGTAAGTATGGCTGTGAAAACGTTTTGTCTGTCTGTGTGATCAGCTGCGGGCGTAAAAAGTGGGATATATATCTTAGGTAGTTGACTCTGGCGATCAATTTTTTGTGAACAGTAACACGAGATCACGTTCTGTCAGCAATTTAGGTTCGACAAGGAAATTTAACAGGAACTGAACTGGAGATACCAAATACTTCTGCAACTAAGCGCACTGAAAAACACACAAAGCGGGCTGATCGGAGAACACTCCGCCTCATTACATAAAAAGGCACCTAATATTCGCGCTACAAATAAATGGAAACTTAAGTCTGTAAAATAACTTATTTGAATGGGTGCGGAAGGTGGGCACCTGTTGTCCAATCTCACTAGTGTATGTTTCCAGCCTCAAACTACTGGTTTGATTTGCCGATTCTGTCTTGGGCCTGTATAAACTGCTTTTAGAATCGGTTATTTTGAGATCAGGCTATATTAGGGCACGCAGAGCAGATGCAGCTAGGTACACAAAAATGTACCAATGACGGCTCCTTTTGATGATTCAGGTGATGGCTTTCTTCATGTAGTGTAACTGATTTATCATTGTAAAATTTCTCTATCCAGCGGCTGGACTTCAAAAATGAATAGCTTTGGAATACTCCTCACTTAAGAGATTTTTCAGGGAGGGACTTACTGTGACGAAACTTTTTCCACATCCAAAAATGTTTCTTTTCCCGGAATGTGTCCAAAGTTTTCAGATGCCAGCAAGTTTCAAACACGAGGAAGACATTTAGTTTTTGTCCAGATATCCCTAGTGTGATCACCCAGTGGGCTTGCTATCCAAGCTGATAATATTGATGGCGCTACAACTGATCCGCAGAATTCTGTTAACTTCTGGTTTGAGACACTGATGGGATGACACTCTTCGCCCGCGTTGACAGTTGCTTTTTATCCAGTAAGCACCACGATTTTGAGACCACTTAATTCACTATAGCTAGCCTAGTTCTGCTTTCTATGGAATCCGGTTGTGGTTAAGATGAAATCATTGCTCTATAGTGTAGGAATTTTAAGTCTATAACATCACTTCTTCAAGACTTTTCCACAAATCGCCGGCTTGTTTTCATAGCACTACTCACACTGTCTTTACTTTCATGTTATATATGGAAAATATCACCCAAGATTTCAAGGTGAAGTTTAACGCCACAATTCATGGTATATTAGGCCGCAGAGGTTGTGGTGATAGGGGAAGTGAGCTGTTGTCAGCTGATAGGGTAACGCTTCTTTGCTTGCACGGATATTTTCTTACTCTTGCAAGCCACCCTAATGCTTCCCCTCTGACCGTCATTCATTAATTTCGAGATGTTGTCAGTGGACAGGCCGTGGGTTATATCTTATTTTGGAGAAATGCCTGTCTTACGGTCCACCTTCTGTTACATTTTACTTTGATGTCGGACGATTATTCAGTCATCATTAGTGCTCGTTTTAGCAGAAAAACTCATTTCACATCACTAGTTGAGTTTCAGGCGTCTCCTAATGGCGAAGGTTTCGGGACAAGTGACATTTTTCACCCGTAAGGCCAGAGTTATTTAGGCTCTATATTGCCTTTTCTGAGCCTTTCACAAAAGCATTTCAGTGCCTAGAAGTGGGCCATTCATCGGTAGAGTGACGCTGCAATTGGCTATCTTGATTGCGATAAGTGACTACCCTAGTCCATCAGGATTGTTTTGGTTTGCTGACCGGATGTTTTCAGTAGATATAGGGCTACTTGCGTATCGCATTCGTTAGTATTTTCAGGTTGATTACCTCTAGTGTTGCATCAAAGTGCTCATTACAGGAAATAGTGAAATACTCCTGAGGTTTATTTCAAGGGTTATAACCCTTTCTTTTTTTCTACGCCGACAGGTTTCGGCTATGCAATAAGTGAATTACCATCAATGCGCATAAAATGGAGCAGAAGATTGTGTGACCGCTTCTAGAAAACACTCCCCGGGCAAAGCAGTAAGAACCATAGGGCACGTTTAAGGTCAGATTCTGATGCAACATCTTCGCTGATGACTGCGTCTTCACCTAGAGCACCTTGCCTACTTCTTTCAACGGTTGATCTAGTTAACACAGAACAGGAATTTTTCAGATGGCACGAAGGGTTGAGCGGGAGTTTTCGACCAATAATGGATCAAAGAAGTTTGTCGGTACAGTTGAATCTCAGCTACCTCACTCTCAGTGGTCAGTTTTACTCTGGTGAGTGGATCATTCCGCGGACGTTTAGATTTTCAAGGAACAAGAGAGCATCTTTTTGTTGTGATGTGGCTGCATATAGCTGTTCCCTCTTCATTTCGTTAATAAATATATCCTTTAACTGCCGTAATGGTTTTGTTCTCCCTTCTCTATATGGGGCGGTGTTAGGGGCTACTGGGTTGGGTGGCAAGGTCTAAAGATTCCGCAGATAGTGTGGTCAGACCTCAGGTCTAGCAGGTTATATGGCCAAACAGCAATCGCAATCACTTTTTCTAGTTGAAGCCGATTAGAAATGCGCTATAAGTCCCTCAAGCAGTCCAATCAACCAGTTTCGTAGAGAGTGAGACTCAGGTGGTGACCGTTCTTCAGTATCCACATATATATAAATCAGTAATGGTGAATAAAAAGAGCAGAGGTTAGGCGTAAGAGAATAATAGTAAGATTACCTAAATTTTTTCCATCTATGTCTTCAAGGAATTTCAAAAGTTCTACATAGGTTATGATGAAATGTGGGTGCTGAATTCGTCAATGTCCTACCAGGTGCTAGTATTATGTCTTATACACTGTGCGTCGGTGGCACACCAGTACGATGCTCGTCAACCACGCTTGTGGTGCAGGGTTCGGTTCCCGGCCAATGCACTCCTATACCTCCCTAAGCCAGGAAGTAATAAAGCTGGTAAAGAAGGAAGGTTTAGCACGAGGCTAACAACCCCATCCTCTAAAAATAAACACCACTGCTACAGAAACTTCAAGCATCTAGCTTGAAGCTCCATGCTCCACTGGGAACTTGAAGGGACAAAAAAGACACTGTTTCTGTTAATGGTGCATGTTAGAAAACTTTGTTGTTCATCTTGGACTACTGCTCACTATTTATTTGGATTCAGAACTTAATTGGACGTCGGATATTCGTTTTCAAATGTGAAAATCTACCTATATATCAAAGTCACTGCTCAGATAACCTGCTGATACCCGGTATTATTGGTTAAAACTTAACTCCATTATGGATAAGATTTTATTTTGATAAATCACACAGTGTTGTACAGTAATATTAAATGATGACGTTTCCAGCATAAACTATTGCTCATAATCATATCAAAATGAAATCTTATCCATAATGCAGTTATGCTCTACCACAGTGCCCAAGTTTTATACTTATA